GGAAAACCAGACTTGACTTGGGGAAATTAGTTGAATTTATTACTAATCAAAAGCAGATTAAGATAATGAAAACTAAAACAAATTTTAAAAACACCTTCCCCCAGCCTTCCCTGCTTCCCAGGATTAACTTTATTCTCAATTCTCTACCTCCCCTGAGAGGTGCAGGGAGGTGGAGAAGGGGGATTATGGTGAGTTCATCACACGTTGTTTCTCCATCCACTTTTTCCACAGGGAGAAGTCCTTCCCCTGCTGCAGCGTGGAACTTCTCCCATGGGAAACAGTCCCCCATGAACTTCTCCAGCATGAGTCCTTCCCATAGGCTACAGTGCTTCATGAACTGCTCCAGCACAGGGTGCAGTGCTTCAGGAACAGCCTGCTCCAGTTTGGGTTCCCCACAGCCACAAGTCCCTCCAGGAAACCTGCTCCAGTGTGGGCCCCTCTCTCCACAGGCCTCAGGTCCTGCTGGAAGCTTCTTCCAGCATGGGCCTCCCATGGCATCACAGCTTTCTTGGGCATCGTCCTGCTCCAGTCGGGGTCCTGCACAGACTGCAGGGGGATCTCCATGGGCTGCAGGGGCACAGGGGCTTCATCACATGCTGCACCATGGGCTGCAGGGAAATCTCAGCTCTAGCACCTGGGAGCACCTCCTGCCCCTCCTCCTCCACTGGTCTAGGTGTCTGCAGAGCTGTTCTTCTCACATACTCTCTCTCCTCTCTCTTTTCTGGCCACAATTACTTCTATACAGAATCATTTTTTCCCCCGTCTTAAATCTGTTATCCCAGATTTATCCCAATCACTACCATGTGATTGGCCCAGCCTTGGCCAGAGGTGGATCCATCTTGGAGCCACTTGGCACTGGCTATCCAGACATGGGGGAAACTTCCCACAACTTCTCAAAGAGGACATACAGTCCCCACCCCCAGCAAAACCAAATTTAATACAGGGAGGAATACAGAAATATTCTCTGAGCTCCCAGAGAAGATGTTAGGAAAGCTAAAGGACAACTGGCATTGAATTCAGCCAGGAATGTCAAAGGCATCAAGAAGAGCTTCTGTGAGCAGACAGGTGACTAAAAGAAAGCCAGGGTCTGCTGAATGAGGGAGAGCGACACAGAACATGGGAAAACTGAGGTACTGAATGCCTTCTTCACCTCAGTCCTTATCTGCAAGATTTACCTTCAGGAGCTGAGGGGAGACAGAACTGGTCTGAGGAAGTATGTCCTTCTTGAAACAGGGACAGCTCAAGGAATACCTAAACCAATTGGACATATCTCAATCCATGGGCCCTGGTGGGATGCACCCATGAGTGCTGGCTGTTGTCACTGAAAGGCCACACTTAAAAAGCTTTGAATGATCATGGTGAATAGGAGAAGTGCCCAAAGACTGGAGAAAAGCAGCATCACTTCTATCTTCAAGAATGGTAAGAAGGAGCACCCAGGAGACCAAAGGCAGAGAGTGCAGGGAAGGTGGAGCCCAGAGATAGGGTCAGAGGTGATAGGCACACACTGAAGATTCCTCCTGAATATCAGGAAAAGCTTTTTCCCTGTGAGGGTGACCAAGCACTGGTACAAGTCAGGCTGTGCAATCAGCATCCTTGGAGATATTGAAAAGTCACCTGGATGTAATCCTGGACACCTGACTCTTAGTGGCCCTGCCTTAGCAGGTGGTTGGACAAGATGACACCCAGAGTTTCCTAGCAACCTCAACCATTAGTCATTTTGTGATTCAAAGATTAATCAAAAGCAGTTTAAAAAAAAATTCAAGGAAAAAAAAATTAAAAACTTCCACTGTAATCAGCTAAAGCCAGACCAAGCTGAAATCTTTACGCTTATGATAAGACATCTAAAAGACAGAAGTTGAATCTTTTTTCTCTTTCATACAACACCATCCTCAGTAGGAACTGTGCAAAGGGTTAATTACATATTGCATCATCACTCAAAGTTACAAGATTGCAAATAAATAACAAATTCCAAGCCAGTCAGTAAAAAGCAAAAGAAGTTAAAGGATGAATTTCATGGAGATATTTAAATTCACATCTAATTATAAAATACTGATACAGTGAGAAAGGATTTTGTAAAAACAGTAGACACATAGACTTGGATGTCTGCCTGTCTTCATTGTGGCTGCTTCAGAAGACAGCCATGTTGCTACAAGATTTTTATTAGAACATTGGGAAGATTATCAGTTATCTTTTTTCTATATGGGCTTATTCTTTCTCTATACTGCAGGACTCAAACTGCTGAAATCATATAAATCTCATGAAAACATCATAACATCCTAACAGTGAATACCAAACTACTGCTCAGAAGAAGTAAAAGCTTATATTGCATCTCTTCAAGACACCTCTTCAAAGAATGATTCATGTGTCATTTTCAAAAAGAGTAATATTAATAAGCCTAATGTTAGATGCTTCAGTAGTTGAAGTGGACAAGACAGGAGACACCTCACTGTATTATTTAAAAGACCTTCCAGCCCAGCACAATGGCTATTGAGAATTCCATCATCTCTGAGCACAAATGCCAGATACTTCTTCTCTAAACTGAAAAAGGATTAGATCATATCCATATTTAATCCAGACACCTTCATTTTTGTGGGTTTATTACCTGTCTCTATTCTTTATTTTTTTGGGAAAAAAGTAGACATTAGTCTTTTGCTTGACTTAAATTATAGCATTCTCAAGTCTGCTGTATTTTCAGTTTCCAGCTCTATTACAGTTTTCTGACTACTTACAAACAGCACAAGTAGCAAGTAAACAATTTCTTGATTTATAATTCCTCAATGAAAAAAACATCCTTCAGCTGTCTCATCTGAGAATCTTTTTATCTCATGTTGTTAGCAACTTGGTTTTTCTGTTTTATGAAATCACATCTTTGAGTAGCAAATCTAGCAATATTTATCACTGTACAATCACAAGGTTTTTTTAATCCATATTTGAATACTTTCTTACAGTGGTTTCTCCATTATCTGAGACTATAACCAACTTCCATGATTTAGTCAATGAAGACCCTTTTGCCTTCATTCCATAAAGTTATTTTTTTATCCAAACAACTTAATCTCACCTATATTAGCTCTTAGTACTTCCTAGTCTCTTACACACCCACCTGAGAGACAAACATGGGAAAAGTAATGTAAAAATCTCTGGGTTAAAGTTAGTGTTTACAAACAGCAGCAATTAACACATATTTCTTTCAAAAAGTGCTCAAAATACTTACTGAAAATGTTTCAAATAAATTAACTGAGCATGCAGAATACATCAGGGTTGGTAAAGTATTAAATAGTAAAACTGTTTTCAGTTTTACTATTTAGATCAGTGATTTAGATCAGCTCATTAATGTGGTGCTAGAGGAATTCTGCTAAAGTCAAGGTCTTAGATTCCATAACTGAAATGCAATTCAGATTCACAGGATGGGAAACTAACTGTATACAGAAGCACTATTAAAGTGACTTAATGATGGCAGTGAATAACCTGCTGAGCACCCAAGAGTGCACTGTAATGCAATGACACAGAAAACATTAAAGCCCTCCCTTCCTGCACAAGGGGGAACTGTAGAGGAACAATGTTTGCTTCTTATGTACATGCAAATGTACTTAAAAGTAAACAAAATTATCCAAAAACAATTTAGTTACAACAGCCTCCCGTTAGGTAGCTAGTAGGTGCATTGGGTGACAGGAGGTGTACGTTCTGCAAGTGTGAAGGAAAAAGCAAAGAACAGTTTTAGAAAAATATCTTTTACCTTCCATTCATGGAAGGTAACATTCTGAAGAATGTTACATGCCCCCGAGAATTTAAGACAAAATATGTTATCTCAAAATTCATTCACTAGAACTTATTTTTAATGCACATAAAAAAGTAGATCACCTAACATGGTAACAGACTGTATGATGAATAACCTGTTTATAATCCATTAACCTGAAAGCCTGTAACCGCAAGTCCAGATGCTTCACTTTCCTGCACAGAAGTCTTGATGCATATCAGACAGAAAAAGAGGTCTTCAGATACTGCCTTTAAAAAGTCTACTTTCTCTATGAAAGACATTAAGGTAGTGCCTATTCCTGAAGAGTTCAACCGTATTAAGCATGACACATCAGAGGTTACAATTGTTCTAATATGTGTATTTATTTGTTTGAAGTCCACTGTCTTTCTCCTGCAATAGAAACACTTTAAATTATAAAATGAGAAAGCTGGACTTCAAAATTTAATCTTTGCTTTAGTGTACTATGAATATTTATAGTACTTCCACAAGACTCACAAAAACAGTACAGATCACAAACTTCACAGAGTAGTCTCAGTGCTCCTGAATCACTCCATTAAAACTGAATATATAAGAGTCCATGAACCCACAAGCATCACCAGAAAGCAAAATAAATTCAACTTGAAGTGTTTGACTTCAAAAACTTCAACCTCCCAGGTCATGCCAACCAGTCAACATAGTATATGTTTCTCCTTTCTGATCGTATCTATACAAACTGGAGACACACAGGAATGCTGAAATACAGGAATGTCTTTCAAAAGCGAACAAAGGAGTGAAGATTTTTTTTGAAATTACTAATTCTTGAACATTCTTTACGTCCCCATCAAACTTCATCTACATATATGTCCCTAAAAGTAAAATCTATTTAAACCAAGACTAGCCACTATTTCCAACTTATTTTTCATCGGTCTTAGAAGAGTTTGGAGAAACTCAAAGATATTTTCAAATAAATTGTTTCCAAAGAACTAATGGGACAATAACTACCATGTTTTCTTTGGTTTCTTTTAAAAAACTTTTAAGCTTTCTCAAATGTTGGCTCTTCATAATCATTATTCAATTTCCAGAGAATTTTTAAAAAAGATACAAAGGAACAGTTTCATAACATCTGCTAAACACACCAGTCACTTCAACAATTCTATTATGTCTTAGTACCAAGCTTTTAGCAGCAACTTGACATTTTCAGAATTAAACACATAGTGACAGCTTAAACTCCAGCAGAATCAGAGAGAAAGAAAGGCATACTGCTTACCTGTACACCTGAACTGTGACTTCCACTTTTTGAAGCAAACAAACAATCCTCAGAATCAACTGCAAGCAAAACTGAAGCAGAAGGGAACAGCTCAGAAAGAGATCCTTGACTGAAGTTTATAGCCTCTGGATTTTTTTGTCCATCCTTTACTGATTCACTCAGATTGATCACAGAATCACGTATGTTTGAAATAATCTCATTATTTTCTGCCAGCAGGCGCTCTAAATGATCTATTTTTTCTTGCAATATTGAAAGCTGGCCCTGGGGGAGAGGAAGAAAAAAAGTAAAGTTTAATTATTTTTCAGAAAAATTCTTGACAGACCCAAAAAAAAACCAACAAAAAGCACCAACAAAAATTTTACAACAGTGTGTGATCACATAAAAATTCAAATATATCTTTATTTTATATTTTACATAAAGACAAACTAATAAGGAATTCACCCAATACACAGAACTTCCTCTTTTCAGTACAAGAGAAAATAGCAAATGATGCATTTTTTATCTATGAACTTGAATTCACAGCACAAGACTTAATCAGTGATACAAAGATACTCTTTAAAGTCTTACAGTGTCAAGTAGCAATTATATCTAATTCAACTTTTTTCACATCTTTCATTTTCAAAAGACTGATCTTTTTATTTATCAGAACATCAAGCAGAAAGCAATTTTTTACAAGTCACTCACTTCGTGATGGATTAAGAGGATATTGTAAACATTTCAAGTTTTTCCTGTACATGTAAAATATTTCAATAAACAATAAAGAAATAATATATTAATAATATATAATAATAATTTAATACAAATAATACCATAAATACCACTTTTCTGATTTTCAGCAAAAGTTGGAGAGAAATCAACAAAATAACTTTATCAGAGTAAGAGATCCCTTAACTGCCTGATCATAGGAATAATCTGTATAATTGGACCATTAAAATAATCAAGAGAAACCCGTAAAAGAGACTAATGGCATTTTCAGTTAGAAGGTCAATCTCCAGCTGCCAGACAACTGGATTTTGTAGATATTCTAGAGAGCTCCACAAGAGGAAGGCTGCAGAACAATACCAGTGTGAATTAAAAGAAGCCAACACATCTTCCAGGGCAACTTGGAAGGAAGAGACAGATCCCACAAAGCAATTTAATACCATCTAATCACTGTTGGAATGCAGGTGGAAGCACAGCCTAATAAGACACCTTAAAACGCCACCACCTTCTCATGTACTAGCCACTGATTCCAAATTATTTGAGGGATGCTTTTTATCAGGCATGAATGTGTTAGCTTTTACAGAATCAAAAAGGCCAGATTATTTAATATGATCCTAGAGATATTTCATCATTAACAGCAATTTCTTTATTTCCTCAGAATGACTTTAATGTAACAAGAAGTGACAAGAGAAGAAAAAATTCAGTCACTTTCTATTACTAAAGTTGAATTTAGACCCCAAATTATACAATGTATGATTAGATATTTTTGCAAGCAGCTGTCATAACAGCAAACCCTGCTGCAGTTTCAGGCATCTACATTTTACAATTACATTCAGCACAAATACCAGACAGCTACTCTGTGACTTACGATTTTAATGACTTTTTCTCAGCACCACGGCCTTACTTTCTTAGGTCTATAGTATAAAATTCAAAACAACATCTGGATGTGATACATTTTTTCCCTTCAACAGTAATACACTTGAAAAATTTGCATTTTTCTTTTCAGCAATTGTAGCAAAGGATTAGGTCTCCTTCCTGAATAGATGCATACATTCTTTCAAATTCTATTGACTTTGTGAAGCCTGCAGAAATTTAAAAAAAAAAAAAAACAAAAAAAAACCCAAAAAAAAAAAAAAACAAAACAAAAGAAACCCCAACAACAACAACAAACCTTACCAAGAGTTACCAACTAGTTTCTTTGGAAGGTGTTTTTAATTTTCAGACAATATGTTTTAGTATTTCTTTAAACCTATTGGTTTGTCTCGGCATTTTATGTGCTTTGTGAAGCACTGATCACTACTTGTTGTTTATGTTTCTTAGATTGATACATACTGACAACAGTAAGAGGTTTTAAAATGCAACACAGGCAGACAGCTATTGCTCCCCAAAAAAACAAAAATATATTTTGCCAACAGAATCAGATTAAGCTAATTGAGATGCAGAACCAACATCCTAGAATCCCAACAGTTTAATGATAAATTCTAGAAACTTATAAAAGTGATGAAATGAAAACAAGAAGAAATCAATATGCAGATGATGAAGTACTGGAAAAAAAAAAAAAAATTAAAAAAAGGCAAGAAACAGTCTGTAGTCCCATGCCACCTGGTGGCACAAAAGAAACAACCAGACTAAAATCTTTCAAATGCTGTGTTAAAGATACTGTGTGCATATTTACATGTAAAATTAATGTTTTCCTTTGCAGTATCTGATGTTTTGAAAGTAAGAAAGGTTTCTCTACACAAAACCTGATAGCCTATTATGCCAGTCAATCTAAAAATAACATATATAAAACAATATTTGATAGGGGTTTCACAGGCTGCCCAAAAGAAGCTCTGATCTTTAGATTCCTAGGAAGTTACAGTACAGCTGCTATCCATAAAAATCATTCCTGGCTTCACTGCATACAACGACAGTTCAGAGTTATCAAGTGTGCACGCAGCTAAAGCACTCACCTATCACACCTATCCCACCACTACCCACACTGTTTCTACAACTATAAAATCAGATAACTGTTTAAATTTCTCACTCATATATGTTGTAGAAGTACTTTACATCTTCTTACACAAAAAGCTTTACATTGCTTAGCAATAGCCTGTCAGCTACCTGGTCACAGAATACACCACCAATCTGGTTTATATCACCTAGCCAGTTATATACTCTCCAGGACAACAGACACAGTGAAAACAAATATATATACACAAACCTCATAAAGTAAGTGTTTGATTGATCCTTCCACCAGCATATACTGCCAGTCTCTAGAAGACAGATATAAACTTCCTCCAAATTTGGAGGTCATGTCATATTTCGTATCTTTAAGATACACCTTTCATTTAACTTATTGTATTTTAAACCTTGAAAAATCTATAACAAGTTCTACCAGTTTACTGTTTATTACGTGGCAAAATATTTTTCTTTGTAAACCAAGTTCCCTGTCTACAAATACTGTAACCAGATGACCTTCAGAGATCAACAACTTCATATGTTGCTACACACATCCAGAAATAATTTGTAAGCTGCAAGGTTTCTGCCAACCTAGGACACTGATTTTCAGAAGTCTGTTAAAGTATGTTACTTTAACTTTGGAGGTAGATCTTCTGTTATTTGGAGAAAGAAATCCTGATGAAGACCTCCCACTGTGGAACATAACCGAGGACATTAATACAGAAAATCCTGCTTCCTTTTCTGGAGAGTGTGAAATACATTGTGCCTCTCTTCTAAAGCCTTTAAACATGCCGTGTTCTAACTCAACTTGAATGCAAAACATGAAATAAAAAGATTCGGTTAAGACTTCATGCAATACTCAAGTTAAAAATGCAGAAAATTAAAAATTTGAGATCATCAAAATGGTTTTGCTTTTAGTTGTGAAATGTCATATCCATGAGAATTAACTTTAAGAAACAACAGTGTCTCAGACTAGAAATTGATTCCAGTCTTCATTCAATATGAAAATAATTAATGTCAGGAATCCATTCTCAAGGTGAAAATTTCACATGGATACAAATTATGCAAAAGCTAGGTCTATTTTCATTGTGCATTCACCTTTGCTTCTTCTTAATTTTAAATAGATATTGCCTGTTCAATAGTAAAATTATTTTAAAAGATTAACTGAATGTGGAAAACACTGCAACTCTTCAAAACAATGAATTTAGCAGATGAAAATAAATTCATTTTCAGCATTTTAAAAGGAAGGAAACTGTCAAGGCCAAACAGTACCAAACTGAACTTACCCTAAATCTGTTTTATCTTATTAATTGCTAGCAACAGACCAGAAAAACAGATTAAATGCATGTTACAAGGAACACTAAATAGGTCTAATTAAAAGATAAAACATAGATCCTCTCCATTACTAAAACCATACCCCAACAGTATTTTTTTTTTTAATTAAGTTTTCAGTTTTTCCACAGATTAAAGGGTGAGCAGGGAGAATTTTTTTTAACTGTTTTTAATCTGAGCAGAGATGTACCAATTTTACGTTAACCAATTCTGTCTGAAATGTTGGGTTCTGCATGGTTTTGTAGATACTGAATAGCAAAAAATAAGTCATAAATGTTAGCAAAACTATCCCTGACTTCACAGCATCAATTCTTATCAGAAAAGAAGCAACCTTGATTCAAGGTTGAGAAATGCCTAACTGCATATAAAATTGGAGATACACTAAGTATACCCTAGTACAAGTGAAGAACACTAAAGGATGCTGTTAATTTACATACTTGTTCTAACATAAGGAAACTAAAAGTAATGTGAATCACTTGGCCTACACAACCAGTTAAGTTTGTAACAACTTGGTGTGCTTCTTTCTTTCATTTTTCTCTGTCTTTATACATTGATGAATGTATAAATAAAGATTTTATTAAAAAGCAATAAATCAAATCCTCCTTCTACTTCACAGCAAAGGAAGCACTTCTACAAGAAGTGCAAAGTGTAATAAGTCTATTGAAAGTAGCTACAGCTGCTTTGATAGGAGAATGGCATCACATGAGCAGCATTCCTGTTCACCACCCTTGTAGTTACACAGGGCTGATACTTAACCAACAAAATTTTCTATTGTGAAGGCAACACAGATCCACACACCTTCCTCCCATTGGGAACAAGAAGTGTCCGCACCTGTTAGCTGCCCTGAGAAACCTGCCACTACCACCACATGAATCAACTACATAAACAGCTCCTTATGCTTCAGTCACTCTGAACCCTTCAGCAGTTTTCATGCCCCAAATACTTCAGAGCAGTCTGCTTTCCCACTGCCCTCTGCTTGTCCTTCTCTGTTTGCTTCCAACACTGGTCTGATTTGCAGCTCTCCAGAAAGGAGCACAGTGACACCCAACACAAGGAGGGAAGCCCAGTAACACAATGAGAGTCCAATGTGTTTCATTCTGAGGAAGTAAATAATGTTCAGTTTTTCCTGCCTAAACATTATACATTGCAGAAAAGATCCTAGCTGGAACTTTCATTTCCTGAGTGAGTGCAGACTTCTCTAAATGCAACAGCTTTCAACAGACAGAAGCGATCATTTCATCAGGAAAAAACAGCTAGCTCAAATAATTGAAAAGAGAGTATGATAG